TCAATTAATAATTCTCAGTTAAATGGTTAAGCATTTAGAGGAAAAATAAAATCGGATTTTTTTACTTACATATAAAATTCAAAATCTGAATTAAAATATAAAACTTCTCTGCCAAAAAGTAAAGCAATGTAAGATTAAAATTGAAATGCTCATTTATTTGCAAAGTATATAACAGATAAGTCAACAAGAAAATGATGAATATCAAAGCAGGAATGAGAACAGAAATATCTAAGAATGAGGAGAGAAAATTCATGAAATAAGATACATTGATGGCTAATAGTAATGAAACATGAAAAATGTACAATCTTAGTAGTAATTAAAGAAACTCAAATTAAACAGCAATAATCATCTAAAAATTTATGGACTAGAGTTCACGCTATACTCAGAGGAAAATATACTTTACTTCCATTATTAAAAATGACAAAATAAAAGCATGGACATTGAGTGTGGTGTTATTCATCTCATAGTAAAATTGATTAACATGCAATGAAATCCAGTACAGTCATATTCCTGAACAGAAAAATTAAAAGTTATCAAGACTGCATTGTAAAATTTTCAAAAGCCTCATAATATTTAAATAAAAAAGGGAGGGGATAGTGGAATAATGTCCTGTAAGTAAAAGCCTTAATTGCTTTGAAATTTTTTACTTTGAAAATTATTTTTCATTTGTAATGCTAATGGCAAGACACCCATAAAAACACACATGGTGTCAAATAAGCCAAAGGAAAATGGTTTGGTTAAATGGAAATATCCCGAGTCTGGTTTATTAAAAGGCCCCGACCTCTTGTTAATATTTGCTCGAGGATACACTTGTGTATTTCCAGAAAACTACTCCAAGCCCATGTGGATTCCGGCAAGGAACTGACAGGACTGCTTCAGCCACAAAATAGCAGTGGCCCCAGAACAACAGAAGAGAAACAGTCCAGAAATGAAGATAGTGAAGACGCCTTGCCATACTAGCAGTTAGCAGCTGTGCGTTGCTGCAGGTTGCCCAGGACCAATCCAGAGAAGGTCGGATAAAGTTCAAAGGAACTAATAGTAGAAGGTTACTAGAGGCTTAATATTGTCACAGAGGCTTGTCTCTCATCTGGAGATTACTCATGGAAGCATTTTATCTGTATTCGTGCTGATATTGGACCAGTCTACATTCAGGGAATGGTATTAGCTGCTGCATTAAAAGAGATGTTACACCTCAGGCATTAACCAATTTTACAGATGGATCCAATTCTGGAAAGGCTGGATCTACTGCAACAGGGGAGCAAAGGTCCTTCAAACCCTTTATATTTCAGCATAATGAGTAAAAATACAAGCTCTTATTTATGCCTTGACAGATTTTGCTACGGAGCCCATCAACCTATAGTGATAGTACTTATGTGGTAAGTATGGCCAAAATTAATGAACCAGGTACTATAGGGCACACTAATTCGGAGGAACTCTTTCATTTAATCTTCAGCCTTCAAAAGGTTATTTGAGAACAACAATTTCCATGTTTTATTGCCCATATTAGATCCCATCTGGCCTTCCGGGTCCCTTGGCTACAGGTAATGAGGAAGTAGATCGCCTCATTGCCTCAGTAGAGGAGGTCACTCCATTTTCCATGGCACAGGCCTCTCATGCCCGGCATTGTCAAAATGCCTCTGCCTTGCGCAGGGAACTCCATATTTCCTGAGAGCAGGTTCGCCAAGTTGTTGAGCAATGCCCTCAGTGTGTTATCCACATCCCTGTGCCAGCATTAGGGGTAAATCCCCTAGTACTTAAACCTAATCAAATCTGGCAAATGGATGTCATTCAATAGTGGAAAGAGCCAAACATACTCTTAAAATGCAATGACTAAAACAAAAAGGGGGAGACGGATGTTATATGTCACCTCAAAACAAACTCAGTCATGCTCTTTATATTTTAAATTTTTTGAATTGCGATGCAGAGGGTTGTACAGCAGCCAAAAGGCATCAGGCCTCTTGTACAATAGCTTGGTGGGAGGAAGCACAAACAAGATAAGAGTTTTACCAGATCCAGTAATGATGTGGGGAAGAGGCCATGTTTGTATCTTTCCAGAAGGTGCTTCTAACCCCATCTGGGTGCCAGAGCGAGCAGTGTGTCACGACCATGGACCTGGGAGAACAGCTCATCCAGTCGTTCAAGAAGCTGAAGATCACACCTCCCGTGATGATGCCAGCTCAGCCATTCACCCCGAAGAAGGAGAAAAGCAGAAGGCAGCTGGCCAAGGTCACCCAAGAAGCTAGTGTCCCCACATGGGGTCAACTGAAGAAGCTGACCACTGATGCTCAGCAAGTGGTGAAAGAACAGGGGGTTCAGGTAACCCCCTCCAACCTTTTTGTTGCTATGCTGGTGCTTGTCAGCTGCCAGGTAGGTATGGCTGCAGCAGAAACTTACTGGACTTATGTTCCAGACCCCACTTTGGTCAATCCAGGCACCTGGACCGGGAAACCAGTGCCAGTGTTTACTAACAACGCTAATATGGTCGGGGGTAGCTCCGACAAGCATATAACTCCTTCTTCCCAAGGTGATTATACTTATAATGGCTTCAGTGGGGAGCTCCCTATTTGTTTATCTAAAAGGGGGACTTCAGGATGTTTGCACCTTGGCCAAGAAAATAAGACGTCCTATTGAGGCGCAAACATTGCTAACATTGCAGGCTCTTGGGATATGGGAAAATATATTCAGACAGTTACTAAACGGGGTTTCCTAAGGCCACCCGATGGCTGTCTGATAAGCATCCCCGCTCCCCTCCTGCCCTAATAGCACCACTACTGAGTTGGGAGCTTTTCCTCAATGGTAAGATTGCGCCAATCCTGTACCAGTGAGACATAATATTTCTGGCTCTGACTTGTATGTATTGGATTGGTCCCACAGGCTTGATGCTAAATAACCCTATCATGAGCCTATGTCACCAGGAGGTTTTGTAGGTAACGCCCTGACCATGAAAACAGGAAATTTACAGAAAGATCTGAGGCGTTTAGCCACTGTGCCCTTGACTTTCTTAATTTTACTGGCTCTTTCTTAGCTAATACTAAAGGGGCATGTTCATTGAGCCCTTGCTATGGCTCATGAGCCTTTGTTCAGTCCCCATATGTATTGGTAACTGCAAATGTGAACATCACCAGATTGGACATCCATTATGCTGTCCAATGCCATTACAATAACCTTACCAGCGGAGTTTCAAGGCATAACCTGATGAAGATATATTAATTTTAAAGCAGCCTTCTTTTATTATGCTTCCTACCAACATGACAGGAAAATGGTATCATGATGTGGGCCTTCAGGCATTGCAGGAATTACACAATCAGCTGTCCCAGGAAAAGCATGCTTTGGGACTTATTATTTTTGGTATTGTTACCCTAGTTACTGTTATTGCATCTGTTGTAACTGCTTCTCTTGTATGGACCCAAAGCATCCAGAATGCAAAGTTTGTCAATGAATTGGCTCAGAACACCTCAACTACATTTCATGATCAAGAAGATACAGACAAAAAACTAGAAACAGAGCTAAATGCTTTGGAAACTGTAGTGATAGGACTAGGTAATCAATTAGAAAGTATCAAGATTAGACAGCAGCTGCAATGCCATGCTGCTTTTACATGAATTTGTGTGATTTCAGCCTGCTATAACAGTTCTCTATGGGACTGGAATAAAATCAAGATGCACCTACAGGGAATATGGCATCATAATAATATCAGTATAGACTTAGTGCGGCTACACAAACATGTGCAAGCCATTCAGAATAGTCATGATGAAATTATATCTCCGACAAAACTGGCAAGAGAATTGCTGGATGATTTAAATGAATTTAATCCATGGAATGTGTTAAAAAAACACCGCCTGGTACCTAATTGGATTCTTTTGTGTACTACTAATCTTATCCTGCTTTTTTTCAGTCATCAGCAATCTCCTGCAATCTCAAGTCCAAAGGCTCCAACTATATGTCCACAAGATACATTTAAAAATGAAAACGGGTGAGATGTAGAGGGCCTCCTGGGAAGGCACATGTGCATTTTTCCTTAATAATTGTCAGCTGAACCCAAGGCGACTGGCAGAGCCCCGTCTTAGATACACATATTACCAAAAAGGCAGGAGTGTTCTCAGCTTTGACTTTCACCTTTGCCCAGGTGTCTAGGAGTGGGTTTTATTATGTAAATCCAGCCACTCACCAGGAATGAGTAGGACTCAGGCCCGCCCAGAAATGACATAACTTCCTGTTATTTGGGGTATAAATTAAACATGCGGTTCCAGTGCTGGGTTCCTGTCCCTGACTCTGTCTCTTCATCAGAAGTGGATGGCGGTCCCACCCAGTCCCAGCTGTTTCCTTCCATCTTTGTGTCTTGTCTCTTGCTTCCATTTCTCAAACCCCCCACCTGCCTCTACTCAAATAACCAGACCACTCTCTTTCCTCACTGGACGGGGAAAAGAGAGACCCCACCATAGTCAGGTGTTACAATAGGTGAAGGGTTTTCTGGTGCAGCACATGAGCAACTAAAGACATATCCATGTCACAGATAGGACTGGGCTAGTCATGGGGAGGAACCGAGGGCATCAAGTGGTGGCAGCTTTGGACAAAAGGAATTGGATCCTTTGGAGGCTGAGATCCGCTGATGACTGACACCGATGTGGCCCTCCATGGGTCCCTGTGACGGGCCACAGTGTCCTCCCTGAGAAAGGACAGGGCTAGACTGGGCCCTTTCCATGGTTTGACTGTGACCCTGTGCTGTGCTCTTAGGCAAGACAGAGGGTGTCTTCTGCCAAGAACTGGACCAGAAACCCTCATGTCAGCCTCTTTTTCACTCCCTATCCCATAATCAAATCCATCCCTTCGTTTTCCTCCCATCCCCACCAAAGAATGAGTCAACACTGGGCATGAGAAAAACATCCCTGAATTTTCTTTTGGGGCAGCAGAGAGCTCAGCAGAGCCAAGGAGGGGTTGAGGGACCACCTCTTCAGGCTGGGAATTCACAGACGGCCACGAAGGAGGCAGAGCAGGAGATGTCATTCCAGACAGAGCCCATTCTCTTGAAGGCACACACAGTCCTCCCCTGAGCCAAAGTCATTAGGCTCATCCTTCTTCCAGTTGCTATAGGTCAGCCTCCCTCCTGTCACATACACAAACTGGCCTTCGGTCGCTTCATCTGTGATGCCCAGGAAGGCATGGTCATTGGCCAAGTCCATGATGGCTTTGTTCTCCTCGGCGTTCTTGGGGGTGGCCACGGTGGCCTGGAGCTCAGCACACAGAGCCTTCACTTTGGAAAAAGGCATCTTTTCACTGTTGGGCACATAGAGCTTCTTTCCAGATCTCTTGCCCAAGGAGAAGGTGTGCACTGAAATCACAAAGGACGGGTGGGATTGACTTGGCCTGGAACCCAGGCCAGTAGGTGACCACGCCCTTGTTGGGGAGTCAGGACTCTGAAAAGGAGCCCATGTGCAACCCCCTCAGGTCAGGTCCTAGTGAGGGGGAGCTCCTCAGGGTAGGGAAGGCCCTGGCAGAGCCCCGCCTCTCCTGGGGGAGCCTGTCTTGGAGACAGTCCCCCTGCACAAACTGCCCCAGTGCAGGTGGACAGGGAAACAGGTGTGGTCCCTGTTGCCAGGCTTGGATGACAGGATAGAAAGGGGCAGGGACAGCCATCTGAGAACAGTGGGTGCTGAGGAAGGAGCAAGGATTTGGAGGCAGCAGACCTCCATGCAAGCTTTCCTTTGCTGCTTCCCACCTGGGTGTTGTTGAATGAATTGTCTACAAATCCTGAACCTATTTTCTCTCACTTGTAAATTAAATAAGTATAATGCTTACAAACAGCAGTGATGAGAGGATGGAATGAAACCATATTATGAGAAAATGCCCGCCTAGCACAGGCCCTGGTATATAATGCGTGTTCACCATTGTTAGTTCTCTTCCACCTCCTGAAAGCCCAGAGCGCTCAAGGACAAGGGGAGTGCGGGAACCCAGTGGGGCAGGAAGAGGCTTACATTTTTTATGTGGTCCAGTACTGCCTCCAGGCTCCTCAGCTCTCTCTCTAAGTTAGCCAGCTTAGTCTCCGTAACTGCAAAGCAACGGGAGAAGGGCACATATTGAGAAAAAGACCCTAAATTCAAGAACAGAGTATATTTTAGGTTTAAAAAAAAACTATGAACAAATTCCTATGCACACTGCACATATCTTATTTTGAAGTAAAAAAACAAAATGGGAACAAATACAATATTTGTATTTGCATGTGGTCCGTAGTTTGAGGACCCCTGCTGTAAAGCAACAGGAGAAGGGCATATATTAAGAAAAAGACCCTAAACAGAGTGTTTTGGGGGGAATGAAAGCTTATTAAGAAGTATGCTTATTCCAGAAAAAGAAGAAATCAAAAGGAAGCAAAAAACAAAAACAAAAACAAACCATAACTGTATTCCTTCTCAGACATAATTCATAACTCTTATGAACTGTAACTCTGAAAGTAGTAATAACAATAGCAATAACGGTAACTTGCAAACTGTAGCTCTGGATCCTTTTCTTCACATACTGCTTAAATACTGTAATATTACACTCATTTATAGCAAAGACCGAACTCATTCTCCTTTTTGAAAAGTTTTCTTAATCATGCTTTTATTTCTTATTGCAGGTAAGCTCTTTAAACTCTATTATAAAAACCCCTTGGCCGTGACGTCATCACATTGTAATGACCAAAGACTGGTCACCATGAGGCTGTGTGCCCGATGAGGCGTGCACTGGTGGGCGGGGCTACATGCCTGGCTAGGGGCACACGGCTGGGCAGGGACTTGATCTGTGTCCTCCGACATGGCGCTGGAGGTACTTGGGGGAGTTCTGCAGTGCCTTGGTGTCACTAATATTCTTATAATTGTGATGGGCTGGTGGGCAAATATTTATGTGAGGTCATCATTTTTGTTTTGTTGTTACTAAATTACTTTATTTCATTTAGTTTCTCTATTCATTACTTTATTGCACCAGGGATCTTATGAAGCAGACCATCTTCATGCCACTCTTGTGACAAACTTATACCCAACACCCAAGGGGAGCAGTTTCCTCCCGCTCATCCTGGAGCCTGGCACTGGTGCTCCAGCTGAGGGAGCAGGTCCATCGGCAGGGGCCACGAGGGGGGGCCAGCAGGGTTGCAAGTCTGTTCTCAGGCGCCTGTGGGAATCCCTTCAGGCCCCAAGTAGGACTGGGAGGAGTGAGAGTGCTGGGTCAGGAGGCACAGGGGAGGTCTGCCAGTGGGGCAGCGGAGAAGGGCCCCTCCCACCTGGCCCTCCAGTTCCCAGGCTGGCCCCTCAGCCCACGCCGTGCTGAGATGAGCTCCTTACCTGAGCTGTCTCCACGATCTCCTTTTTGGCCCTTCACTCCTTGTGGCCCAGGAGCCCCTCTACTTCCTGGAGGCCCCAGTTTCCCTGGAGGACCCTGCAAGCCTCGGAGCCCTGCCCTGTTGGAAGATGAAGGACATGTGGCCCAGTGTCTGTCTCTCATTCTCTTCCTCCAAAAGCTCAGCACTAGATTCACGTTGACTCCAGAAACCACAGCAAACTAGTGGTGACCTGAGAAAGAAAGACCTCCTGCCTCCAGCGCCAGCTGCCCGGGCTGCAGATACCGCCTCTTACGGACAACAGGTGGGAGCCAGGTCACAGCAGCGTCTTTGTTTAGGAGACAATGACAATGTACAGGAATTATCGTGAGTGATTCATGCCATCATAATGTAAGGGGAGCCTGCTCATGGCTCTGTCTCAGATCCCTCTGGGGAGTAAAGATTCAAGAAGTCAGACCAGCCTGGGTACCTGGTTCTCCTTTTTCTCCCTTGGCTCCGTCTCGCCCATCTCTGCCTGGGGTGCCATTGGTGACTGGGATGCCACAGGCAATCACTGAGCAGGCCTTCTGGGCATCTTCACAGGTTGTGGATTCTGAGAAGGACACTGTCACCACAAACAGAAGGGTGGGAAGTGATACAAACCAAAACATGGTCCTCACCTGGTAGTGAAGAGAGTGAGGGAAAGAATTGCATCTCATCCCATGTAGCCAACATCTGCTACCACCTCTGGTGTATTGGACCCTGTGCTCAGGACAGCAGACACACCAGCTTTGACTCTGGGTTTCTCCCAGGCTACTAAGGAGACAGACAACTTACACATTCCATTACCAAAACCATATACTTTTTTTTCAACTTAATTAGAATTCATACTTCTTAGAAAACTTAACTTGTAGTGACATCAAAAAGCAAGTAATTAGCATTTTTTGAATCGACAAATTTATGAATACATTTCATAACTTCTAGAAACAGGTATTTTTCATTGGAAAGTAGAGTTACATTTTCAAGAGACATACTTCAAATAAAGTACAAAATATATTTATTCACAGATTCAAATTTATTTGTTCTTACCAACTATATGAGATTTTAAAGTTAATTATTACCCAAGCCATTTTATTGACAAATTTTGTAGCAGAGATAAATAACATGAACTTAGTTTTGTAAACCCAGGCAACACAAACATGTATTTTATGTTAATAACTTTGAAAGACCTTCACTAAACTTAAATCACCATTTGAATTCTTGGTGATTATTGCATTCCTTTAGTGTGTTGCTTAATTACCTAGTGTCCTTGCCAACTTCTAAAAAGGCTAGAGATGAGGGAGGGTATTAGGCTTGGACAACTTCCACCACTTCAGTTTTAAAAGTGTCAGTTGTTGCCTCTCACAGCGGGGTGGGGCAGTCACCCCTACTGCTCCTGCTGCCCACACAGAGTTTGGGGAAGGCACCAATTCCTGCACTGTCCCTGGGACCACAGCATCCTCAGGGCCTCCAGAAGAATTTAGGGGACTTAAAAGAACCATTTTATTTTCCTCTTAGAATATGTTTTTATTGATTTTAGAGAGAGAGCAGAAGGGAAAGGGAGAGAGAGAGCAACATCAATTGGCTAACTCCTGCACACCCCCTACTGGGAATGGAGCCTGCAGCCCAGGCATGTGCCCTGATGAGGAACTGAACTGGTGATCTTTCAGTTCATGGGATGATGCTCAACCAACTGAGCCACTCAGGCCAGGCAAGAGACCCATTTTCTTTATTTTCCTTTCATTTGCCAGTGACAGCTTTCACACCACTGACTCCAGGTCCAAAGCTACTCCTATTGGCGTGTTCCAGGTGGTCCCCAACTGTCAATCAGGGCTGCTACCTGGGATTTCCCCAATACATTCACACCACCTCCCGTCCAACCTCCACCAACTGGACTATGCGACATTTTCTGCAAAGAGCTGAGGTCTGAGAGGAACATCAGTGTATTGCTGGCTGATTTTATTTTTCTTATGATTTTAGAGAGCAAGAGAGAGAGATAGAAACATCAATGATGAGAGAGAACCATTGATGGCAGCCTCTTGCACGCCCCGTACTTAGGGATTGAGCCCACACCCGGGGCATGTGCCCTGACCAGGAATGGAGCCTGGGACCCTTTGGTCCACAGGGACCTAAGCTCTATCCACTGAGCCAAACCGGCAAGGGCTTGCCTGCTGGTTTTAAAGAAATAAACCGGAGGACTGGCTGGGAAAGACATGGGTTTATTAGACTTATGTGGACACCGGTGGGGCTTGCTGGTGAAGTTTTCTGCATCACAGCTTTCACAGCTCATGGTTATAGAGAGTCCAGAAAACAAAGCAAGCAAGTGTGGGCAGGGGGTGGGGTGTACCTGTGTGCAAACTGTGTGAGATCAAAATGCCAGCTGTTTCCCTGCAGTTTGCAGTCTGGGCTCACACACTCACCAGGCTCCCAAGGTCCCACGGTCCACTTCCAGATGGCCTTCCTCAGAGTCCCACAGGGTGCGAGGCTCACATACCGTACACTGGTATATATTATGGGATATTTCCAAAAGCATAAAGGACTCTGTGCATATACCATGAGGCTAAGATTAAAATAAGAATCTGAAGTAAGAGAGTTTTTAAAAAAAAGTTTTGATGACTTAGGGAGGAAGATTAACCATAAGGCTGGCAACTTAGGGCCTTTGTTGACCTTTGCCAATGAGATTGAAATGATGGAGTAGGAACAGAGGCACTAGTGACTGGATTTGAGAAAAGAACTAAAGCAAGGAATTGAAAGTCTGGTGGAAATGTTTTTTGGAAGCAGCTTGATAGAGGAGGCACAGGGAAGGTTGCCACCTGGTGTGAATTCAAGGTACTGAGAGAAAAAATAAAACCAAAAAAGCCTCATGTGAACTTTGGATTATTGGGAGAGGGAAAAAAGCAGCCAGATAAATTAGTTTAGGCTGAACCTTACTTTGGTTTGCTCTCTTAGTCTCCAAACTCCTTCAACACTTCCAGCTTCGCAAATGTCGCTCTCTCCTGCCTCAGAACACCTAGTGCTGCCCAGATGCACTGGCTGAGCTCTCAGGGCCTCTAACTCCTAGCAGCAGCCAGGACCCATCTGCAGGCACGACTCACAGGCCTCCATGAGGTCATCTGCCCATCAAGTCTGTTCCTGGTGCTTATCCTTCATTTTGGTTGGGGAGGCATGATCTATGCTGGAATCAAGTCAGAAACTCCCTCCGCCTGCACCTCAGCCATTGACTTCCCCAATAAAAAATCATACTTTCACCTGCTTTATGTTCCTCTGGGCATATTCCTCTTCTTAGAGTTGGACCTCAGGCAAGTTAATTTCTGTGCTTCAGTGTCCTCAGGTAGCCAAGACCCTTGTGATTTCAATGCCCCTGTTATTTTGGCAACTAGAATGAAATGATTTAATTCTTTTCTTTCTTTTGAAATTTATGTTTATTTATTGTATTAAATTTATTGGGGTAACATTGGTTAATAGAATCATGTAGGTTTCAAATGTATATTTCTATGATACATGATCTTTACATTGCATCGTGTGCCCACAACCCTTTGTCAATACATTTGGCTTTTATTTTTTTTCCCCTCTACTACCCTCCACCTCCTTTTGTCTGGTAACCACCGTAGTGCTGTCTGTGTCTATCAGTTTCAGTTTTATATCTCACATATGAATTAAATCATATTGTTCTTATGTTTCTCTGACTGACATTTTTTCTTTTTTTAAAATATATTTTATTGATTTTTTACAGAGAGGAAGGGAGAGGGATAGAGAGTTAGAAACACCGATGAGAGAAACATTGATCAGCTGCCTCCTGCACACCTCCCACTGGGGATGTGCCCGCAACCAAGGTACATGCCCTAGACCGGAATCCAACCTGGGACCTAACAGTCCACAGGCTGACGCTCTATCCACTGAGCCAAACCGGTTAGGGCCATTTTTTATTTTTTAATGTATTTTTATTGATTTCAGAGAGGTAGGGAGAGGAAGAGAAAGAGATAGAAACATTAATGATGAGAGAGAATCATTGATCGGCTGTCTCTTACACACCTCACTCTAAGGATCGAGCCTGCAACCTGGGCACGTGCCCTGACTGAGAATTGAATCGTGACCTCCTGGTTCATAGGTCAACACTTAACCACTGAGCCATGCTGAACAGGCCTGACTGACATTTTTTGCATAGGATAATATTCTCAAGGTCAATTCATGTTATCACAAATGGCAGTATTTCATTTTTTCTTACGGCTGAGCAGTATCCATAGTATGTATGCACCACATCTTTATCCAGTCCTCTATTAAAGGACACTTGAGTTGTCTGCAATTCTTGGCCACCGTGAATAATGCTTCAATGAACACAGGGGTATATATATCTTTGTGAATAAATGTTTTTGAGCTTGGGGGTAGATACCCAGAAGAGGGACTGTTGGATTCTATGATAACTCTCTTCTTAATTTTTTGAGAATCATCCAGACTGTTTTCCATAGTGGCTGTTTACATTCCCACCAGCAGTGAATGAGCATTCCTTTTTCTTCAGAGCCTCTCTAACACTTGTTATTACCTGTCTTGTTGATAATAGCCGTTCCAACAGCTGTGATGTGGTATCACATTGTAGTTTTTCTTTGCATTTCTCTAGTAGCTAGTGAAGTTTAACATGTTTTCGTATTCTGTTGACTATGTCTTCTTGGGAGAGCTGCTTGTTTAGGTCCTCTGCCCATTTCTTAATCGGATTGTTTGTTTGCTTGGTGTTGTCTGAGTTCTTTATGTATTTTGGATATTAGCCCCTTGTTGGAGCTGTTGTTTGCAAATATCATCTCCCATTCAGTTGGTTGCCTTTTTGTTTTGTTGCAGTTTCTTTTGCTGCACAGAGCTTTTTAGTTTGATATAGTTCATGTCATTTATTTTTTCCTCTTCTTTCCTTTGTGGTCAAATTCATAAAATGTTCTCTACAACCAAGGTCCCTACATTTAGGAACTATGTTTTGTTCTATGCATTTTATTGTTTGAGATCTTATATTTAGGTTCTTGATCCACTTTGTATTAATTTTTGTACCTGGGGACAAATGTAATCTAGTTTTATTCTTTTGCATCTGGCTTTCCAACTTTCCCAGTGCCATTTATTGAAGAGGCTTTCTTTTCTCCTTATGGTGTTTTGGCCTCCTTTGTCAAAAATTATTTGCCCATATACATGTGGTTTTATTTCTGGGCTCTCAATTGTGTTGCATTGGTCTGTGTGTTTGTTTTTCTGCTAATGTTGTGCTGTATGGATTATGATAGCTCTGTAGTATAATTTGAATCCAGGTAGTGTGATACCTCTGGCTTCATTCTTTTTTTCAGGATTGCTCTGGGTATTAGGGGGGCTTTGTGGTTCTATACAAAGCTGATGTTTTTGTTTCTATTTGTTTAAAAAAATGACTTTGGATTTTGACAAGGCTCACATTAAATGTATATATTATTTTGGGGAAAAAACACCAAGATGGCGGCATCGGTAAACACCGGAGTTTGCTGCCTCGAACAACCACTTCAAAAATACAACTAAAAGACGGAACAGACATCATCCAGAACTACAGGAAGGCTGGCTGAGTGGAAATTCTACAACTAGAAGGAAAGAGAAAAGCATACCGAGACTCAGAGGAGGCGCAGTACGGAAGTAAAATACTAAGGTGCGGAGGTGCATGCGGAGCAGGATGGCGGATGAGGGCGCTGTTGTCGATTTCAATCGGGAGGGACTCTCAGGCTCTGAGCTCCAGTTCCGGGAGAGTCTCTAAGGACCCAGACTCATATGGGAGAAGCTGGACTGTCTGGCATCCGTCGGAACCCGAGGGTAGCTTTCTCTCCGAGGGG